TCCCTGGGGGGACTGCGATCTGCGACACTGTCGCCACTTTCGACGGCTGGCGCTGGGTCCAGCGGGGTAAGGCACCGCGGGGACCTGAGCGAAACCTCGCCGTCCCTGGGGGTGCTGCGATCTGCGGCACTGTCGCCACTTTCGAGGGTTGCTGGTGGGTCCAGCAGAGTGAGGCACCGCGAGGACCTGAGCGAGACCTCGCCGTGCCTGGGGGGCTGCGATCTGCGACATTGTCGCCACTTTCGACGGCTGGTGCTGGGTCCAGCGGAGTGAGGCACCGCGGGGACGTGAGCGAGACTTCGCCGTCCCTGGGGGGGGGGGCTGCGATCTGCGACACTGTCGCCATTTTCGATGGCTGCTGCTGGGTCCAGCGGGATGAGGCACCGCGGGGGCCTGAGCGAAACCTCGCCGTCCCTGGGGAGGATGCGATCTGCGATACTGCTGCCACTTTCGACGGCTGCTGGTGGGTCCAGCAAAGTGAGGCACCGCGGGGACCTGAGCGAGACCTCGCCGTCCCCGGGGGGCTGCGATCTGCGACACTGTCGCTTTCGACGGCTGCTGCTGGGTCCAGCAGAGTAAGGCACCGCGGGGACCTGAGCGAGACCTCGCCGTCCCTGGGGGGGCTGCGATCTGCGACATTGTCGCCACTTTCGGGGGCCTGCTGTTGGGTCCAGCGGGGTGAGGCACCGCGGGGACCTGAGCGAGACCTCGCCGTCCGTGGGGGGGGGCTGCGATGTGCGACACTATCGCCACTTTCGATGTCTGCTGTTGGGTCAAGCGGACTGAGGCACCGCGGGGACCTGAGCGAGACCTCGCCGTCCCTGGGGGGACTGCGATCTGCGACACTGTCGCCACTTTCGACGGCTGCTGGTGGGTCCAGCAAAGTGAGGCACCGCGGGGACCTGAGCGAGACCTCGCCGTCCCTGGGGGGGGGGGGGGCTGCGATCTGCGACACTGTCGCCACTTTCGACGGCTGCTGCTGGGTCCAGCAGAGTAAGGCACCGCGGGGACCTGAGCGAGACCTCGCCGTCCCTGGGGGGGGTGCGATCTGCGACATTGTCGCCACTTTCGGGTTTCGGGGGCTGCGGCTGTGTCCAGCGGACTGAGGCACCGCGGGGACCTGAGCGAGATCTCGCCGTCCCTGGGGGGCTGCGATCTGCGACACTGTTGCCACTTTCGACGGCTGGTGCTGAGTCCAGCGGAGTGCGGCACCGCGGGGGCTTGAGCGAGACCTCGCCGTCCCTGGGGGGCTCTGGAGAGCTGCTGCGGGATACTTTGGGCGCAACGGGCGCATGGCACAGACAACGGGGGTGAGTCGTGAAACAGACCATCTGCCGGGCGATGGCCATAGCGTTGCGCCTACAGGTATCCCGCGGGGGCTCTGAAGAGCTGCTGTGGGATACGTTGGGTGCAACGGGTGCATGGCACAGCCAACGGGGGTGATTTGTTATTACGTGGCCCTTATATCTTGATCGGGGGCCTGCGAGCCTTCCGATTTTTTGTCGCAAATTCACTGGCGTCTATGTTACGTCATCGCCCCCGTTGTAGCAATCCTGATGTACTAATGTCCCGCATTGCGCAAGGGTTGGGTACGTCGCCCGGGTATTCTTTTGTGGCGGAAGAATATGGCATTTCTTTTGCAGCGGGGTGCACATTGATTCCCTTCGTAGCGGATTTCAAGTTATTTCCTCTGTGGCGGATTTCAGATGGATTCTTTTGCTGCGGATTACAAATGGATTCCAGGTGTGGCGGATTATTAGTTGCTTCGTTTGTGGCGGATTATACATCAATTTTTTGGTGGCGGATTAATATGTGTCGGAGTGCACGTTGATTCCCTTCGTGGCGGGTTACAAGTGGATTCTTTGTGTGGCGGATAATAAATGTATTCCATTTGTGGCGGATTACACATGTATTCGTTTTGTGGCGGATTACAAATGTATTCGTTTGGTTTTGGAATGCAAATTGATTCCTTTGTGTGCTGGGTTACACATGGATTCCTTGTGTGGCGGACTACGATTGGATCCCTCTTGTGGCGAATTACAATTTGAATTTCTTTGTGGCGGATTGCAAATTGACTCCTTCTGTGGTGTATGGTATATGGATTGCTTTTGTGGCGGATTACAAACGGATTTATTTTGTGGCGGATTACAATGTATTTTTTGTGGGGGATTACAATGGGAGTCCTTTTGTAGAGAATTATAATAAGATTCATACATATAGTGATCTCTCCAGGTTTTCTTGGGGTGGGGGCGGGGGGGTTCAAACCGGTAGTGAAGCCCCGTCGGTTTTCGGGAAGGTGGAGGGGGGAGGTTCGAACTGGTGGTGAACCCCGTGGTGTTGTGGGGGGTTTGGGGGATTGGCGGGGAGGGGTTTCGTACCGGAAAGGGGGGGGTTCGTGAAAGGAGGAGGGGATTTTCGGGAGGCGGCGGGGGGACCCCTGGGATCCGGAGGGAAAGGGGGGGGTCTTCCATAGCAAAGCGGCGACGAATCACGCTTTCTCAAAGATGTCCTCACATGCATCCAGAAGACCTCCGACCTACAGCTCAGAAAAAGGAAGCTCCGAAGAAGACTTACAGCCTAGTTCTGAAAATGTCGAATGGCATTGCCATTCGACATTTTCAGAACCCATTACAGAGAATTCGAAGGGACTTGAGGACACACCAAATCGTGTCTCAGGGCACGGTGGTGGATTGAATATGATGGAATCGTATGCTGCTGCAGTTTCTCTATTTTTCTACAGCACATGGCGCCCTGGTGGGAGACAGACTTTTTGACCCAATTATGTTGCACGGGGCGCTACGTGGTTGGGGGCACCTCCAGCACAGCAGAGTTCACGCGCTGCATCTGGTTGGTTCTTCTTTCATGACTTCTATTGTTTTCATCATCGCCATCGCCAGCATTTCACCGCGATCAATCTGGTTGCCAATCCCGGTGCCCCACCAGAGCACTGAACTACCGCCCAGGAGGCGTATTTTTCGCCATAGTACTTCTGCACATGCAGCATCCTCAGAGGCATTGGAGTCCTCAGAGGCATTGGAGTGCGTCCATATTTGCTTCGGAGAGGGGGGCTTGGCAGGGAGCTTTGAAGAGGAAGACGAGGAGGAGGAAAAGGAAGAGGAAGAGGAGGAGGACCATATAAACCCAAGAGGCATCAACGATGTTTGAATCAAGCTTCCCTCCAGGCTCCCTCTTCTTAGGCCCCTAGAAGGATTCATTTCCTCTGAGGGAAGTGCCCCGTTGGGGGCCACCGTTTGAAGATCCTGAGATGCGCCAGAGCATTATTTCCGGGATTCCAACGCCACGAGTCAACTGGACTGTTGTGGTTTGACGCTCCTGCATCGTGCCAGTACGCCGTTCCAAGGACTTCAGAACCGCGAATCATCGTAACAGTTGCGCCCTGACAATCTTGAGTCCTTCCAAAAGGTTATTTATATACACTAGCCATGGGAATCCGTGAAACGTTTAACATGTGCGCGGCGCTCAGGCGAAAGCCAAATGTTTACAAAGAGCTGCCCTCAATCCGCGAAGCGTTTGCGATCTTTTAATGTGCGCGCGGCGCTAAGGCAAGAACAACGTTTTGAAAACGACCCACCCTCAATCTGTTAAGCCCTTGCAGTTGTTTAAACTAATGTGCGTGGTGCCAAGGCGACAGCAACATTTTGACCCCCCCTCGCCCTCAATCCGTGAAGCCCTTACAAGTGTTTACAGCGCCAAGGCGTGAACCACATAGTGAAAACCACCCGCCCTCAATCCGTGAAGCTCTTGCAAGTGTTCTAGGCGGATGCGCGCGGCGCTAAAGCGGGAGTTACATTTTGAAGGCCACCCGCCCACCAGTCGTGAAATCATTGCCACGTCGTAAGCTCCAGGATGATAAAGGGTAAGTAAGTCTAAAGCGAAACGCCCGGCCCGCCCTTCCGACTGGCCTCGGGGTGCGACAGGGAGGAGTTATTTAGAACAAGTGATTTGGAGGAAGAGGAGAAGGAGGAGGAGGAGAAAGAGGGGGATGAGGTGGAGCTGATGGGGGAAAGGATCTACTCGAGCCAGATCCTTGACGAGGGTAACCGCTTGGGGGCCCCATTGGGCCATCAGGGGCTTGTGTTTGGGGTTTCCTGGGCCGTCTTGGACGCTCTCGCGACCGATGCGGCGATAGTGTCAACATGGCACTGCATTTTCTAGGGGTTCAGCCGATGTGTGTCTCTTTGGTCCGCTTCCGGGATCTCGAAGACGGCCCGCGAGACTGCCAACCGCGCCGAGGTTTGCCACGAGGGGGCTCCAGCGGGCCCATGTGGCCCAAAACTGATCGAAGTGGCCCAAGGTCGCCCGAGTCGCTTCGGGGAGGGGGGGGGGGAGCAGGAGGGGGCGGGGGGGCGCACCAACCCGGAGACACTCCCCTGGGACCCCCTTTGGGACCTTTCCCCGGGCCAAACCCTGGACCACCCCTCTTTTCCTGAAAGGCGAGGGGTCAATGGGACGGGGCTTCTCTTCGGCTCGACTGCGACCTGGGGTGACTTATGTCGGGCCAGCCGTTTTGGAGAGCTCCAGGTGGCCGCAGGGCATTGGGGAGGTTTGGGATGGAAATCGTCTCCTAGGACCACCCGTGGACCACCCAAGACTCAGCCTCATACGCGCCAGCAGGGTCGGCGGATTCAGACAAACTTGTGAGCACATGCGCATACCATATTCATTTGTAGACAGCCATGCACATGCACGCGTCATGCCGTGTTGTACATGCTATATATACACATGTGCAACACAGCGGTATTACATCGGTGCTCATATACACATGTATATCTACATGTGAATGCATGTAGACGACCCAGTTCGACATACGGTTTGATTTAAAGCAGTGAGGACGCACAGCAGGGAGGGGGCACATAATCAAACGGATGTTCCGCGATACGGTTAGGGATGATGTTGTCGATTTGGGCGAGCAGTGGGCCCGAGATCAGCTTCGGAAAAAAGTTGACGTATTTCCTCATCATCTTTCCTCTCCTCGCCAGGCGCTCACGATCCTGGAGACGGAGATGACACTCAAGATGTCGCGCCTTCTCATCGTCAGCGACATTCTCCACAACACTGCCAGCTCTCGACCATCGGTCCGAGGGGGGACAAGGGCAGTGGGGATCGGGCGGCGGGGCGGAGAGATGAGGCAGGGAGTGGGAGGCGAGGGAGAGGGGAGGAGGGGGCGCGGAGGAGGGGGAGAGGAGGGCAGAAGGGAGGTGGAGTAGAGGGGAGGTGGAGGAGCGGATGTCGGCGGAGCAAGGTTTTTTTCTCCACATCCTAAGTGGGGTTCTTGTTTTCTCTGCACACCCTCCGCGCAGGATCTCTCCTCCTCCTCCTCCTCCTCCTCCCTCTCCTCTGCTCCTCTTTGCTTCCTCCTCCGCATCATCATCACCATCACCATCACTCCCCACTCATCATCATCATCACCATCAGCATCACCATCACCATCCAACGATCACTCACCATCATCGGCATCGAACGATCATCATCATCATCATCATCATCATCACTACTCGCTGACTTGAGGCCTGAATATGGAGGAAGTATCAGGCGGGAGCCTCGTCTGTGAGTGAATTGCGAGGAAGTCTCAGGCGGGAGCCTTCTCCCTATGGGGCCCGCACTTCATGTTTGAATCCGAGCGGGTCATCCTCAACGTGTAACTGTCGTCACTTTTGGGCTCTTGAGGCCTGAAAATGGAGGAAGTCTCGAGCGGGAGCCTCGTCTGTGAGTGAATTGTGAGGAAGTCTCAGGCGGGAGCCCCCTCCCTATGGGGCCAGCACTTCATGTTTGAATCCGAGCGGGTCATCCGCAACGTGCAACTGTCGTCACTTTTGGGCTCTTGAGAGCCTCGTCTGTGAGTGAATTGCGAGGAAGTCTCAGGCGGGAGCCTTCTCCCTATGGGGCCCGCACTTCATGTTTGAATCCGAGCGGGTCATCCGCAACGTGTAGCAGTCGTCACTGTTGGGCTCTTGAGGCCTGAATATGGAGGAAGTATCAGGCGGGAGCCTCGTCTGTGAGTGAATTAAGTCTCAGGCGGGAGCCCCCTCCCTATGGGGCCCGCACTTCATGTTTGAATCCGAGCGGGTCATCCGCAACGTGCAACTGTCGTCACTTTTGGGCTCTTGAGATTTGAATATGGAGGAAGTCTCGAGCGGGAGCCTCGTCTGTGAGTGAATTGCGAGGAAGTCTCAGGCGGGAGTCTTCTCCTTATGGGGCCCGCACTTCATGTTTGAATCCGAGCGGGTCATCCGCAACGTGTAACTGTCGTCACTTTTGGGCTCTTGAGGCCTGAATATGGAGGAAGTATCAGGCGGGAGGAATCCGAGCGGGTCATCCGCAACGTGTAACTGTCGTCACTTTGGGGCTCTTGAGATTATACATATAACGGCGCACCGGGTCCGGGGGCCCGGGGCCGGGACCTCGACCACAAATGTGCGCCCCGGGGGGCCCGGAGGCTCGTCGGGGCTTGCCGGAGGCCTCCCCGGTCAGACAAGACGGCCCCAGAAGCGCCCAAGACGGCCCAAGAAACTTCCAAGAGGCCTCCAAGAGGGCTCCGAGATGCTGAAGATGGCCTCCAGACGTCCAAGGACGCCCCCAAGAGGCCCCAAGAAGCCTCCAACATGCGTCCCAAGAGGGCCCCTAGACGCAAAAATTGGCCCATTCCCTTCGTAAAACGTACATTTTCAACAAAGTTGTCTTTTGGGCTTTCCGACGTTACAGGACGGCCCAAGAGGCGCCCAAGACCGCCCCAAGACGGCCCAAGAAGCTTCCAAGAGGGCCCCAGGACAGCCCAAGAGGGCCCCAAGACGGCCCAAGAGGCGCCCAAGATGGCCCAAGAGGGCCCCAAGACGGGCCCAAGAGGGGGCCCAGAGGGGGACCACGAACCGCAAGCTCGAGCCTTCCGCCCCAAGAGGCCGCCAGGAGGCCCCCAGGAGGCCCCTCAAGAGGCCCCAGGAGACCCCAGACGTCCAAGGACGCCCCCAAGACGCCCCAAGAAGCCTCCAACATGCGTCCCAAGAAGGCCCCTAGACGCAAAAATTGACCCATTCCCTTCGTAAAACGTAACTTTTTCACAAAGTCGCCTTTTGGGCTTTCCGACGTTACAGGACGGCCCAAGAGGCGCCCAAGACCGCCCCAAGACGGCCCAAGAAGCTTCCAAGAGGGCCCCAGGACAGCCCAAGAGGGCCCCAAGACGGCCCAAGAGGCGCCCAAGATGGCCCAAGAGGGCCCCAAGACGGGCCCAAGAGGGGGCCCAGAGGGGGACCACGAACCGCAAGCTCGAGCCTTCCGCCCCAAGAGGCCGCCAGGAGGCCCCCAGGAGGCCCCTCAAGAGGCCCCAGGAGACCCCAGACGTCCAAGGACGCCCCCAAGACGCCCCAAGAAGCCTCCAACATGCGTCCCAAGAGGGCCCCTAGACGCAAAAATTGGCCCATTCCCTTCGTAAAACGTACATTTTTCACAAAGTCGCCTTTTGGGCTTTCCGACGTTACAGGACGGCCCAAGAGGCGCCCAAGACCGCCCCAAGACGGCCCAAGAAGCTTCCAAGAGGGCCCCAGGACAGCCCAAGAGGGCCCCAAGACGGCCCAAGAGGCGCCCAAGATGGCCCAAGAGGGCCCCAAGACGGGCCCAAGAGGGGGCCCAGAGGGGGACCACGAACCGCAAGCTCGAGCCTTCCGCCCCAAGAGGCCGCCAGGAGGCCCCAAGGAGGCCCCTCAAGAGGCCCCAGGAGACCCCCAAGAGGCCCAAAGGAGGCCCCGAGAAGCCCCAAATCGGCCCCCAAAATGCTTCGAACCTGCTTCCAGGAGGCCCCCGACAGGTTCAGAGGCTCCCGAGAAGCTACGTCAAACTCCCAGCGAGCGGCCGGACGAGGCCCCCCACAAAATCACAAGAGGGTTCCAGTATTTGTATCCTTCAGCGCTCTCTGGCCTTCTTCCCCCTGCCCCCTTCCCTGCGACTTTCGTTGACTCAAGCTCGCCTCCTAGCTAGAACCTAAGCGCGCGCGAAGCGCGCGCGTGGTTCTAGTTGAATATGGAGGAAGTCTCGAGCGGAAGCCTCGTCTGTGAGTGAATTGCAAGGAAGTCTCAGGCGGGAGCCCCCTCCCTATGGGGCCCGCACTTCATGTGTGAATCCGAGCGGGTCATCCGCAACGTGTAATTGTCGTCACTTTTGGGCTCTTGAGGCTTGAAATGGAGGAAGTATCAGGCGGGAGCCTCGTCTGTGAGTGAATTGTGAGGAAGTCTCACGCGGGAGCCCCCTCCCTATGGGGCCCGCACTTCATGTTCGAATCCGAGCGGGTCATCCGCAACGTGCAACTGTCGTCACTTTTGGGCTCTTGAGACTTGAATATGGAGGAAGTCTCGAGCGGGAGCCTACGGCCCAGCCCGAAGGTTTGTCCCGACGGCTTCGCGATCTAGCCGTCGGCACACGCGCGTGCGCTGGCCGAGGCGGCGACGGCGCTGAGGAAAATGGATTTGCTTGCCCCGACGAGGGGGAAGGGGAGGTGCACATGGAGAAAAGGCAGGGGGATGAGGAGGGAAGGGGCATGGGGGAGGCCGACGACGAGGAGGAGGTGGGCCGAGAGGAGGAGGAGGAGGAGGAAGAGGAGGAGGAGGAGGAGGAGGAGGAGGAGGAGGAGGAGAAAGAGGAGGAGGAAGAGAAATAGAAGGGGGAAGAGAGGGCAGTGCAGTGGGCGAGAGGAGAGGGTGTCCGCCAGGGGGAGGAGGAAAGGGCAAAGGGTAAGCTAAACAGATTCTCATGTGGGGCCCTACCGTCGGAGTAATTTTGCTAGCGAAAGTCTGGAGTGGCACATTCCGGGGCTTTATCCTTGCGCTCTCCTCTCGTCGTCGCCGGCGTCATCCTCCTCTTCCACTCCTTTATGAGTAACTCTTCCCAGTCGCGCTCGTGACGTAGGGTGGGCCAGGCATGTCGCTCGAGACTCTCTCACCACTTATGATCGTGAAGCTTTGTGGGATTTGCAACATCTTCACGTATGGAGGGTGGGCTGTTTTTCAAATGTGGCACTTGCCTTAGCGCCGCGTGCATTCGTTTTAAAAGTGTGCCCGGGCTTAACGGGTTGAGGGCGGGCGGTTTTCAACATGTGGTTCTCGCCTTAGCGCCGCGCACATTCGTCGTACGAGTTTACAGCAGTTCCAAGGGTTCTTATGGCTGGCGTCCCAGAACTGGTGTTTTGACACGACGTAGTCCTGGCAGGCCGCAGCAGCCACGCCGATTCGCAGAAATTGCGTTCTGGCATGATTCAGGATCGCTAGGACGCAACAGTGAGGCTGATTCTCGGCGTTGAAGTCCCAGGAATGGTGTCCTGGCACGGCTCAGGATTTCCGAACGGTTGTCTTCCAACAGGGCACTTCCCTTAGTGAAATTATATCTTTGTAGGGACCTTTGAAGAGGCAGCTTGGAGGGAGGGTTTGTTGCAGCATCGTTGATGGTTTTCGGTTTACACTAGTCCTCCTCCTCCTTCTCCATATCCTGGCGTCATTTTGTTGGCCACGCCGCCCGCTTCCAGCTGCGATCGCTTATATTGCTGCTGTGATCTGCCCCGCCTCGTCGGCCTCGTCCTTTTCTTCTCCACCACATGGCGCCGATACGCTTCTAGGGTGACTTCGTATCGATGTTTCTCTCGCTGGGACCGCGCAGTCGCAATCGGTCGGCAGGGTTTCAACCGCGCTCGCAGGACAACCGTTTCACCTTGGTCGGCTCTCGTGATGCGGTTCATGGTGCAGTCCCGACGAAGGGCCGAACCATCTGCAGCTGCGAGTGACGCAAGGCAGGTGATGCGAACGAGAGAGGCGCTCAAGCTGCGAATGGCGTGCGATGTGGATCCTCCTTCTAGATCGCGTGCCACAAGATGGATGCCACTTGAGCCGCGCGGGCGCCGCCATTGGGGCCTCTGGCGGAGCTCCCGCTGGGGTCACGAGGGGTGTGAGGGGTATGCCGACAGGATCGCGGGCACGCATGCTGGCGCTGCCACTGGGGGCCGTCAGTGGAGCCCCCTGTGGGGCCGCGAAGCGCGTGAGGGGCGCGTCGACATGGACGCAGGCACGCATGCGGCACTTCTCCCAGTTTTGCATGCAGC